GTGTTAAGTATAAGAACTTTTTCCTCTTGCAAATCTGAAACTCTATTCCCTTTAAACAACAAGTCCCTTTTTTCACCTCCTCCCAGCCCCTGGTAACCACCATTCTACTTTCTGTTTCTATGAATTTCAGTACTTTAGATACTTCATATCAATGGGATTTGTCTTTTTGTGATTGGCTTTTTTCACTTAACCTAATGTTCGCAAGTTTCACCCATGTTGTAGCATGTGGCAGAATTTCCTTCCTTCTAAGGCTCATAAAATATTGTTTATATATTCACCTTATTTTGTTTATCCATTCATCCATTGATGGGCACATGGGTTGCTTCTATCTCTTGCCTATTGTGAATTGTTCAGCTATGAATAAGAGTGTGTAAATATCTCTTAGAATCTTTATTTTTTTAAATGCACTGTCCATCTTAGAGTGCTATCTTTACTCATGTTTTAATCTTTCAAAAGTTTATCTTTAAAATTATCATACAGTAAAATGCACTTTTTGCATACTGTTATTTGTATTTTAACACATGTAAACTAACTTGTGTTACCACTGTAGTCACATGCTCCTTCATCTTTGTGAACCATTGATCTGTCCTCCATCGTCATAGCTTTGTATTTTTCATAATGTCATATAAATAGAATCATAAGTCACCATAACCCATGCGTGAATACTTATAGTAGCTCTATTCATAATTGACAAAAAAATGAAACAACCTAAATGTACTTCAGTAGAGAATGCATATGTAAACTACGGTACATCATTATAATAGAATAAAGCAATAAAGAGGAATGAGATATTAATACAGGCAACAACTTGTATGATTCTCAAAGACTGTTATGCTGAGTGAAAGAAGCCACATGAAAAAGCAAACATTTATTTTATAATTTTATTTATTTATTTATTTATTTTTTCCCCCCAAAGCCCCAGTAGATAGTTGTATGTCATAGTTACACATCCTTCTAGTTGCTGTATGTGGGACACGGCCTCAGCATGGCCGGAGAAACGGTGTATCAGTGCGCGCCCAGGATCCGAACCCAGGCCGCCAGCAGCTGAGCGCACGCACTTAACCGCTAAGCCACGGGGCCGGCCCTGCAGATTCATTTTAATTGCTAGGTTTTTACCTCTCTCTCTTTCCATTTGTGTGCTCATGCTTTATCAACCAGCAGATTCACAGTTGCCCTTATCAATCACCTGTCCTCTAGCTTTGAATTCAGTCTTGCAACTGATTTTTGCTGCTCTGTGATTTTGAGAATATCAAACACCCAGCCACCAAACCATCAGGCAGCTTGATTCAGTTCTGCTTTGGAGGCTTTTTTGAAACTTTCTGCCGTTCTAAGTCCACAGTCATGGTTCCAGGCAGTGTCCACAACTCTTGTGTTTATTCACATTTCTGAATAACAAACCTCCACCTGTGCCCTTGGTTTTATATATTTTATATCTCTATGTCTTTTTGTATTTTAACTATTATTGCATGTGTCTGAAGCAAACAAGGTTAAAGGATGACATTACAATGCCATCTTGTATCAAGACTATTGTAGGTTAACAAAGTTCATACAGAAGCAGTTAACAATAGAGGATATAAATTGATAAACATGAAAATATTGAATTCATTAAAGATTAAAAATGTTTTAATTAACATTAACATGGAATATCATCTCCACCAATTAGTTAATGAGTGAACCCTAACTAAATGTATTGAGATTATACCTGAACACAAGTGCTTTTTCATGGCATTGTAACTTCTTACAACTCTATTAAAAATCAAGAAGCATAATTTCACCCACCATCCTCTGAAGTGAAGAAAAATGTACATTGAAACTATTGTGATGAAATTAGACAAGATGATTGAGAAAATCTAAAAAGGGAATAACATCTGTCTGTATTGATCAAGACAGAATTGTCACACAAAATACATTAGAATTTATTGTATAAAAAATACATAGTGACTGTTAAGTCAGGAAACATTCAGTAACACTTGGAAAGAAAAAATAACTCGTGAGTCTTTCTAACTTTACCATAACTTGGCTATATTTTTAAAAGTATTATTTTAATCCACATACATACTATATTTTGACACCCAAAATTGGAATCAGACTTCCTGATATCATTGCTTAGACAGATACAACTTTGTTCGTGCTTAAAAAAAGAAGACTGGAATCCAATCATAGAAGGATTGTGTGTCCATGTTTGCAACATATTTGAAATGGAGATGAGTAGAGGGTGTACACCTGGTCTCATAGGGTCAGGGAAGCAGCCATCCTGAATTCCTCCTGTCTAGAGTCTTAGTCTTTAAGGGTTTGCACTGTCCTGGGATCTCAATGACAAAAAAGTACTTGGCTAATGAGGAGCTTTGGAAATTGAATCTCTAGGGATACAGAGACTGCAACTGCCTGTGACCAGTTCAGTCAATAGACCTTTTCCAGAAAAGTAGTAGCACATCTGAGTCTCCTCCAGTAGATGGTCCCTCTTACCCAGGAGGCTGGATCTCACTCAATCCCTCTGCCTTTCCTGAGGGCAGATCTCCCAGATGGTACATCCAGAGAAGATGTCAAGCCTCATTCCACTGTGATGCCAGTCAGGTAACTTACCATCCCTTAGTCAATATTCGGAAACGAGGGCAGGTGTTTTACTACAGGTTCATCCAGGGGAATCTGTGAAGACAGTACATACATCAGATGACTAGAGCTAAGTCACCCATGGTCTTCCTGCTTAACTGTCTGTCATCTTCTTCCCATGTCCTCATACTTTGCACCAATAATCATGTACCTCTCATCTACTGATCTCATACTCAGTCTCTACTATATCCAAGAGCATTGTCTTCCTAAGTAGAAATTGGCCTCTTCTGGGCCGGCCCCGTGGCTTGGTGGTTAAGTGAGCGCGCTCCAGTGCTGGCGACCTGGGTTCGGATCCCGGGCTCGCACCGACGTGCTGCTTCTCTGGCCATGCTGAGACCGCGTCCCACATACAGCAACTAGAAGGATGTGCAGCTATGACATACAACTATCTACTGGGGCTTTGGGGGAAAAA